GCAGATGTGAGGACTTTGCACGATGTGCAGAAGTTGTTGGGAACAATTAATTGGGTCCGACCTTTGCTAGGAATTTCCAATGCAGATTTAAGTCCTTTATTCGACCTGCTTAAGGGGAGCACAGACTTATGTTCCCCTCGCGCTCTCAACCCTGCAGCTGTTGATTCCTTACAAAAAGTTGCTACAGCTATTACCTTAAGACAGGCACATCGATATGCCCCTGAGTTACCTTTCCTTTTAATCATTTTGAATCCTGCTCGACAGCCTCATGCCTTGATATTTCAATGGGACTTGCAGGAGTCTGACCCGTTGCTTATCACTGAATGGGTATTTTTACCGAATCAACCCACGAAAACCATCTCAACACAGCATGAAATGTTTGCATCCTTGATTGTCCGTGCCAGGCGGCGCTTGTTAATGTTGTCTGGAATGGACTTCACTTGTATTTATTTGCCTATGGTCAGTGATTATTTGCAGTGGCTTCACCAACAATCGGAAGCCTTCAGTATAGCGATAGCTGGTTATACAGGCCAACTCACTTCTCACCCACCTTCTCATAAATTGTTTAATGCTAATTTCCAGCTTGTACCTAGACCAAAGAGGAGTGACCAGCCTTTGCAAGCTCTTACTGTTTTTACAGATGGATCTGGGAAGTCCCACAAATCTGTTATCCTCTGGTGGGACGACCAGCGCAAACAATGGGAATCGGATATAAAGACAGTGCCGGGTTCCCCCCAAATCGTGGAACTGACTGCCGTCGTCCGAGCCTTTAGAAAATGGTCTACACCGCTTAATATCATCACTGATTCAGCTTATGTTGCAGGGATTGTTGAACGAGCTGAGGCGTCTGTGTTACGAAATGTCTCACATTTTGCATTATTTGCTTTGTTACAGGAGCTTATTTTTCTTTTAGATTCTCGCATTCATTCCTATTTCATTATGCATGTCAGATCTCACACTTCCTTACCTGGCTTTATAGCGGAAGGGAACCGGCAAGCTGACCTGCTTACATTACCGGTACAGGTACTGCCAGACCGCATAGCACAAGCAAAACTCAGCCACGCTTTCTTTCACCAAAATGCTGGTGGGCTTAAGCGACAATTTGGCCTTACTACTCAGCAGGCAACCAGTATAGTTGCTGTGTGTCCCGATTGTCAAAGGCACTCATTTCCTACAATAGCAGGAGGAGTTAATCCTAGAGGATTGCAAAGTTTGCAACTTTGGCAAACCGACGTCACTCATTTTTCGGAGTTTGGTCACTTAAAATATATTCACTCCTCTATTGATACCTTTTCTGGGGCATTATTTGCCTCTTGTCATACTGGCGAAAAGGCGCGCGATGTTCAACGACATCTGCTGCGTGCTTTTGCCACTTTAGGCATACCTTCTCAAATTAAAACTGACAATGGCCCTGCATATATTTCAACTGCAATTAAAAAGTTTTTGAGTTCTTGGGGGATCAACCACATTACGGGTATCCCTCATTCCCCCACGGGCCAATCCTTAATTGAACGCTCTCATCAGTCTCTGAAACGCTTATTGCAACAACAAAAAGGGGGAATAGGGACCGTTACCCCCGAGGAACGCCTTCAGAAAGCTTTATATGTTTTTAATTTTCTGAATTGTTCTTTGATAGACAGTAAGCCTATCAGGATGGTTGAGAAGCCTTGTAAAAATGATTGTGTATGCTTTAGTCGTTTTTATTCTTTTGTTACTTTGTTTACCCTGTTTTTTGCAGTGTGTGCAGAACCTGATAGCCAGTTCAGTGAAAAGGGTCCTTATTGTGCAACAAGAAGGGGGAGATGTCGGGGGCAGCCTGGTCTCTCCTTCTAGCAGCAAGGACGTGCTCAACTTGGCGTCTCGTAATTTGCATACTCTGTAAGCAAACTGTTACACCCCTGGGGCTAAGGACGATTTCTTCCAGGAGGGCTGGTTTCTTAACTAGAGATAAGCACGTGCTATAGAAACAGGAGTAGAAGTCGTTAAGGAGAAGAATGCTGTGAGCTAGCAGAAAATTAACTGCAGAAAAAGTCAAGCTGACCTTAGACGTTAGCCAATCATGAGCTCAACTTTTGTAATATGTATTAGGTGATTAACCATTGTGCCAATCAGCTTAAAACACGTGTCTCTCTTTGTCTGTTTGGAATATAAAATCGGTTGTTGTGTTCAATAAAGTAGATCCTGACTTGCATCGAGCTGGGTCTCCGTCTCTCAATCGCGGCAGTAATGCTCATCTGCGTAAAGTGCTCTGCTGGTTACAAAAGCAAGACTGCAACGTCTGTGAATCTTCAGATACCATTCTCAGCACTTCAGAGCTGGTGAAATTTGTATTTATATTTATACACGACCATGTCTGAGGCCTCGTAGCCTCTGCAGATGCTGTCACCCTAACCTACACAGATAATACACTTTAGTCACTGTTCTTTCTATTACAAATAAAGTATTTTCAGGACTTGCTACAGGCGTTGTAACGATTGTGGAGATGCCTGCTGCATACCCAGGTCTTGCAGCGTGGCCATACATAATTGTGTGAATGCCTCTGGTCAAACTGGCTTCAAGTATCATCAGTTCTTGGTGAAGGTTCATGAAGCAAGAGTAACTGTGTTACAGTAAATAACCTAGTGCTCAGCTTGCTTTTTACATCTTGAACAACGTGCACCTTCTCCGTGTCCCCTGGGGGCTGCAGGGCTAATCAGGGCATTGGATTGACCCTGCATGGGGCGAGCAGGACATCTCTGCTGTGCACCTGAGACCGGCCCTGGGGTGGGAAGCAAGGATGAGGATTAAACTGCCAGTTGCCATCAGAGGTGGCAATGGGGCCCAAAAGTATCTGAATTGAGACATTAGCTACTAGTGTTCAAGCAGGTAAGCAGCAAAAAGGCCAAGTATGTAGATGACATGAAGCTATTTAAATTTGTCAGGAGATGAGGGAATCACAAGAGCTTTGGAGACGCGTACAAAAGCTGTGCTCATCAGCAACAGGAAGGCAAATTAAACTAATCATCACTGTTCCCAAAGTCATGTAGCTGGAGGGAAAATGTAAACTGCATAAATACTTCTAGGCTTTGGCTTACTGTAACTGTAGCAGGTCAGGCAAGAGCCCCGGGCATGATGACAGGCATTTCACTGAGGACACAAGAAACAGCTTAGTACAAGCTCAGTGTTTTTCAGTGGCGAACTACAGTCAGAAGAGCAGACAAGACATCAGGAGCCATGAAGGGCAGGGTGGAAGAAATGTGGAGAAAGGCACTGTGCCTCCATGCAAACCAGCACTGCTCCCCCACCAGGCTGCTGCCTCCTCTTCCAGAACAAAGGATCCAAGGAGAGTTGACCATGCATAGAGATGAACCTGAGCAAATGGTGAGGGTAAAAGTCCCCAGAATCTAGGGTTTGTACCTAGAAGGCAATGAGTTAGGAGGGGATGGGGAAATAAGGAAAATGGGATGTGAAAAAAGGCAGTAGAATAACGACCGGCCAAGAGACGATAGATTGGGAGTTCCTCTTCTTCCAGCCTTTGTGACAGGAAAAAAGAAAACAGATGGTGAAAGCAGAAGGCTTTGAATTCCAAACTGATAAAGAAGAACCACTTTCACACAGTGGATAAGCAAGCCAGGGGAAATCAGAGAGTAAAGCAAACAGTGAGGTTTAAAGACAGACTGGGCACACATCTGAGCAATGAGAACATTCAGGCTGGTTAACAGGCAATGCTGAAAGTATTACCTACAAGAGGAGAGAGCATCCCATTGTGTATGAGAAGAGAGAGCAAACTGCTGTCAGGCACTAAGAGGATATGATGTGGCCCTTCTGAATATTGAATCGTTCCTTAGTCTCACTGGGGTTAACCCACTTTTTCTCTTTCTCCAAAGCATTTGGCAGAGAGAGGAGACTGATCTAGACAGATCACTCTAACCTGAAAAAATTGCAGCACTATCATTTGCCTAGGAAGATGCCTAGTCTCAGGCTGGACTGTTTTGCCTTATGTTAGTTCTGTTTCAGTGTCTGCCTGAAATTCTGTGGGACAGCTGAAGCAGACAAGTCTACATTGCACGTTTGCTGCATTTCTCTAGGACTCAGTGGAGAAAGGGGTGTAATTTTCAATAAAACACATGGCTAGCTGTGTATCTAAAGAGCTGTGGAGTCCAGACATGCTCCTCAGAGTGGGCTAGTTAGGACTTTTTGGGTGCTGCTCCACCGCCTGCAGTCTAAGGATCCCAGAGTACATTCACTTGCAGCAGGAAGGTGAAGAGCCACACAGCAAGAAGACCTCTTCATGTGCCTGCTGAAATAATAAAAATTTGGCCTGGTAGTGAAGCTCTCTACTCAAGCCAAAAGAATCTTCCAGCATAAACACTGAGAACTTAATTTTTGAACCACAGCTTCCCTGATCAGCTACAGCCTGGGCACCCATACGGGAGAAACTACATGTGTGACTCTCTACTAGTGAGGCTTTCTTCTGGGGTGGCATGAATGTTCAAGAGCATTACCACAGTCCTCCATGGGTGTTCGGAGAGGAGGTGAAGAACATTCTCTGACTACATGAAACCTAACCACATTGAGGGTCCTGACAGACAGGACCTGGCAGACTCATGCTTACATTACTAAGTACATCCTAAGTAGGAGGACAGTGTCAGAGAGCCCTAGCATCAATATAAGATTTATCAGGAAAATGTGAGGACTAAATAACTAAATGAATAAATGAACAGGGACAGCCAGACAGGAGGAAAAAAAAAATACTCTGAAGGACAGCAAAAAGAAGAGACTGAACCTGCGATTCTTTCTTCTCTAGTGGCATTTAATTTCCCTTTCCCCACTGTGAAAGTGTCAGAAATGAACAGGCAACTTCAGTAAGACAGAACTGAAAGAAAGAGAAGGCAGGAAAGTCCTTAGAAGCTGCTTCACACAGGCAGGGGTACGCATGGCACTGTCAATAGGCACTATCCTCCACAAGCACACACAGAGGCAAGCAGGGTTTTTTGTCAGATTTATTTTAGGTTCTTAAATGAGTTTTTAATAAAATAAAATGCTCAAAATGTGCAACATGTACAGTCCTCTGTGAGATCCCCTCTGCCACTGAATGAGTGTAAGAGCAAGGCAGTGCAGGGAGAGGGAGAAGAAAGCAGGCAGTGTGGAGAAAACACCATTGGGCTGAAGGGGAGCTGGGTTCCAGCCATCTCCCACGTCTAAGCGTCCCACCGGTGAAAGGCTGTGAGAGAGGCCGTGAAGGAGGGGCAAAGGGTGGGAGACAGAAGTGGCACTGAAGCAGGCTACTGGCTCAGGCACTCCCAATAGCTTCAGAGCATCTGTGCTGCTGGCCACCTTACTGCATCAGTAAGTCTTGCCTTGCAGTGGTACGCAGCTTCCAGCCCCTCTGCAGGTACAGAGCTCCCGTGGCTTCCTGCTATGTTCATGCCATCCCTAGAACCTCCTGAGAGGTCTGCATGGTTCCCATCTCTCTGCAGCACGGCACACAGAGTTTCATCCTCCCATGCAGACTGGACCTGGTGTCCCTGCTTCTATCAGCATTCAGTTTGTTGGATCTTTTTCTGGTTTTCCTCCATCTCCTTCTTCCTTGGCACAGTGACTGCAATCATCCCTTCCAGTGCTGGGAAAGCAGAATACCGTGCCTGAAATGGAAGAAAGGGGAAATATCAGGCATGTGAGGGAGACTGAATGGCATAAGTCTGGGCTTATTCCTGTCATTGAAGACATGGTCCTACTGCTTGCAACCAAGGGGCTCCCATTCCCTCCAGGGAAGAGCCCCAGTCCCACTCTCTGAGACATGCAGTTTCTTCTGGGGAAGGCAGGCTCAACAATATCCTCTGTGGTGTCACGGGCATAAGGAATAACAAAGACAGGACATGCTTAAGAGAGGGAAAACAATGATCTGGGAAGTAGTCAGGCCATTGTCAGGTTCAATGGTATGCCAGATTTTACAACTCCTTTTCAGAGAGAATAATTAAGGGCATGAAGGTTCGTGCAAAATGAGACAAGAACAAATTAAAGACAGAACCACTTTCACATCTTGCTTTAACAAATGACTTTCTAGACAATGGAAAAAAGGTAGATCTCAGGACTCCTGATAACAGTAAAGTATATGGTGACACACAGACAATCAGTACAGCGACTAAAATGAGATTAGCAAAAGAATTGCATGGTAGGTATGATCTCAGCTAGGAAGAAGGGACTGGGATTTTGCTGGCAGGTTTCTGTCAGGCTGTGGAGAAATGATAAACGGAAGTCTTCAAAGATCAGTTGTGGGACCAATCATTAATGGAACAGAGGTTGTGAAAGTGCTAATGAGTTACGTAGCTGATAAAGTTGAAAAGCCTCATTTGGAAGAAAGAGAATGAAAAAGTCACCCAAGACCCAGATATTTTAGGGGAATGGTTCAGTAAACTGTCAAGGTGAGTGAAATGCAACAGTACCAACCTCACGTCGGCAGGCTCAGGGGATTGGAACAGGAATTCCTAATGTGTGGGCAATAGCCCATGAGGGGATACTCGTGAGCAGCCAGTGTCCAACCAATGCAAGAAGAGCAAATGTAACCTCAGAGAATGCCAGCAGAAAAAGGGAGAGAACAAGAGAAGAGCTAATATCTTTGCTCAAGGCACCTCATCTGCACTCTCACAAAGGATGAGCCCACTGGTGGAGACTGTGCAAGGAAGGGCATGAGGACCATCTGTGGATGGAGAACCTGTGCTGCAACAGAGGAGCTTTTCTTACATGGCAAAGCAAGGCTGTGAGGGCATATATAAATTCTTTGAGGTGGTAAATGTCCTGGATTAGTGCTGTTTAAGCTAACAGCCAGACACCCAGCTATCTTATTTCCTGATAGCTGAGACTTTACAGTTACACTGTCAAGGGGTTCCTGTCCAAGGTTTTGGACCAGAAAGGGTGGTTCTGATCATCTTGTCCTGGACTTACACAGTCTAGAGAGCCACCCAGAAATCGTAGATTTCTGCCTCAGATTATCCGTTACCGTCAGTGCTGATTAAGGACCAATGATGAAGAACCAGTCACAAGTCGCTCTAGTGGCTCTACCCACAGTGTTTTTTTTTAAAATTACCATCTTGCTTCTGTTCTGATACTGCCTGTCTTCAGCCTCCAGCCACTGGGATTTGCTAAGAATTTTCATCAGTACTGTCACATCCCTTGTCTTCAGCTCAAGGCAGGTTCAAGGCACCCAGCTCTTTTGCCAAGGCAAGCTCTCCCAACCTGAGATCGCTCTGAGCCCCTGGCCCCTTCTGCACTGGAAGGGGATTTTCACTTTGGGCCCTTTCCAAGAAGGTAAGTAGAAGGCAACTATGTCATAGCTGCTCATAAGAGGTGTCCCTTGTCAGCAAAGTGAAACCCTGAAAGAAGAATTTGCCATGTAACTCATTTGCAGAGAAACAGTATGAACACTGCAGAGAAATGGTCTGACTTGTTTACAGATTTTTTTTTTTCAGTGGTGTGCTGGGGAGGGATCAGTCCTGGCCTGGTCTTTGGGATCATAAAGGCAAGGCAGAGTTTTCAGAAGATGAGAGATACTGGAACAAGCTGAGCAAAAGAAGGGCAGTAAGTTGCTAAAAGCAGACGGTTGAGGTGTGTGGGCTGAGCCAGCAATAACAGACCCACATCAAGATCAGCATCTGGGGACCAGAAGGCATTTATATGGAACATGAGACTGTGTTACATCAAAGCATCCAGGTAAGGAATAAAAGAGAGGACACCAACAGAAGCCTGGAAATCAACCCCTCCTCATACAGCATGGCTTGATCTCTGGGAGAATAAACAAGAAGCTTTTCAAGGCTGGGCTGTGATTGTCTCCTAGGGGGTTTTACCCCTCGTCTGAAGTGTCTGACCTGCCCCCAGACAAATGTCACAGTTAGCCAGACCTGCTGGTGCCCAGGATACAGCTTTCGCTACAGGTCCAGGACACCCTCAGCAGGCTGCCTGAGCCCCCATTCTTCCTCTGGCTGCTATGTCCCTGAGACATTTCACTGCTGTCTCTAGGGTACCCAGGGGAAGGTCAAATAAGGTCTGGTGTACAGAAAAACTAACAGAAATGGGGTGATGGACACTTACCCTTTTTTGTAGGGCCAGAGCCAGAACACAGACCATAAGTAGGAAGAAGAGGGTGAGTGTGAGCCCAAAAGTTACCTGCCCACTGAAGATGGTGGGAGGGCTGGAGACCTGGGAACCTGTGAGGAGGAACCACAGTTAGGAAGGAGAGGAAGGATGATTTTGCACTGGGGCAAAGCTGGGACTGTACGAAGACAGGAAAATTGGAAAAGAGTGCAGGGAACCAGAAAGAGCAACACGAGGAACTGGTGAGAGCTAAGGCAGGCTGACAGTAAGATGGGATCCAAGCGGCTAAAGGGGAGAAGGGCAGGATGAGGCTGAGAGAGGAAGGAGTACCAGGGAATTGAATAGGGCAAGAAGAATGGATTTGTTACAGATCCATGGGACACAGTACCTGTGATCTGCAGCCCATATTCCGTTGCTCCCAGTCTGCCTTCTGGACCATACACACTGCACTCCCATGTGCCTGTATCCTTTTGTGACACTTGGGGTATTTCCAAGGTAGGGCCCATCTGGTGTCTGTGACCCTCCAGGTTACGGGAGGTGGCCACAGACAGCTTGCTGCTAGTGGAGGCTGAGCCAAGGTGCTTCCACTGGAAACTTTCATATCCCTGGGGGTGTATGAGGCTGCAGATGAGCAGCAAATGGGACCCCTCAGAAACTGGTCCTTGGATGCTCGGAGTGACTGCAGCAAAGGAAAAAAAAATACCCTCAGGAAAGACTACAGACAGGTTCACACCTCTTCCTCATCCCTCCTTCTTCTACTACACCCATTCTTTAATACTTTTTCTAATTATTTTCTATATCTTCCTCAGTTTTAAGAAGAATAATCAAGAATAATCTGCTTTCAGCGGAGTCCAGGGCAATACAATGCCCTGAATAGAGACCTTGGTTCCCGCTCTGGGATGGGAACCAATGAGCAGGAGCGGCCCACACTCACTGCACTGATGTGTAGGGAGGTTTATCCAGAAGCAGTGGTGGACCCCAAAGGGGCAATGCACCTCCTTGTCTCTCCTCTCACCTGTAACCACTGTCAAGGTCACGTCCCTGATGATTGTCTTGCTGCTAACAGAGATGGTGCAGCGGTACTGCCCTGCATCACCTGGCCCCACCGCAGGGAGATGAAGGTGGAAGCTTCTGCTGCTCAAATTCTGAGAGATGCCCCAGTCTTGCCAATGTCCTCCTACAGTGCGGCTCCAGTGGGCTGTCACCACGTTGATCCCGAGGGCGCTTGGAAAGTAGCTCAGAGTGCATGGTAGATCAACTGCAGAGCCAGATGCAGCATAGACCACAGGGTTGGTTGGGCCATCAAAACCTGAGCCAGAGAGAGAGAACACTGTGGGGTGGTGGCTGGAAAGAGTTCTGCAGGAAGATGACTGGCCTGGGAAGTGAGGACGGGGTGGGAGTCGGGAAGGTGTAGCCTCTGAGGTTGGACAGTCACATCAAAGGGAGCAACGTGGGGACGCTGGAGTCGCAGCACAGAGGCTGAGCTTACCTAGAATTTGCAGGTTGTATGTGGCAGAAATGATCTCGTTATCGGAGTATCTGAGCTGGCAGCGCCAGGAGCCCGCATCACGCATGGCAGGTCGGAGGATGGAGAGAGCCCCATGCAGGGGAAAGAAGTTCCTGGAGGTGGGGACCAGGCGCCCGTTGTGGAACCAGCACGTCTCCACAAGCCTGGCCCGGTGGCTAGAGTTGCAGCTCAACAAGAGCGGCTCATTTTCTACCACAGGGCCAGGTGGACTGAGGGTTACTGCAAGAGGAAGAAAGTGGTGGGGTGGTGGAAGCTTAGATCACAGGGGGACAACCAAACCATCCCTTTTGTGCCCCTTCTGTCCTGGCTTTGTCCCCTCTCTCCGGAGCTGAGAATAGACAGCAGGAAGCTGTGGGCTTTTGGGGGTCTGCTGCCTGTAATCTAACCTGCCCTGGAAAACACGTCATCCCCACCCCATCCCACCCTCACAACCTCCCCGGACCTAAACCCAACATTCTCCAGGGTTTCCATCTTCTCCTACCTGTAGTTACCCCCAGCTCCACCTGGCAGCTCTGGACCTCTGTGTTGTACGTCACCCGTGCCTCGTACAGCCCGGCGTCCTCGCTCCGGACCGGGTCGATTCGCAGGGAGAAATTGCCACTGCGTGAGGCAGGGTCCTGGACCGACACGCGGGGCCTCATGGGCAGCGCTGTCTTCCGGAGGCCCGAGTACCCCACCTCCAGCACCATGTGGGGCTCCTGGTAGGCGCTGGGGGTGGGATAAGTGAGCACTTTGTGTCGGAGGCAGGGGCGAGATCGAGGGGGGGGGGGGGGGGGCAGGAAGGACGGAATGCGGAGAAGGGGAAAGGGGTTTCAAAATGTATCGCCCTCCCCAGCCCTCCCACAAGGACACAGGCCTGTCTCGGCCTTGGCGTACCTTCCCCCATGCCGCTTCCACTGCACGGATGTCTTGTCAGGCAGCTGCTTCCACGTCTTCGCCGCCTTTCTGGGGCTCAGGTGGCAAGGCAGCACAGCCGAACCCCCCGCTCTGGCCCACACTTTCTGCTTCTCTGCTACCCCTGGTAGGATGTGGCCAGCTGCAATGAGACAGAGGGTTGAGCACAGGGTGGTACTCGTGGCGCAGAGGGCAGTACCTCGCCATTTTTGGTTGGGGTTAGAAGGGCACAAATTCTCCCCTGCGGACCTGCCAGGGACCAAGGAACACCCAGGCTCAGTTTACTGAGCTACTCTGCCCTCCCTGACGTGTTCAGCCCCTCTTACCATTGAAAGCCAGCAGAGTGAAGGTGAGGAACAGGACCAGGGACGCTGGCCTCATGATGGCATTCAGGAGAGATGAGGGGCTGCGTCTTTCCACTCAGGTCCGTGCTTGATCAGGTCTGAAGCATTAAGAGATCAGCAAAAAATGAGGCACGGTCAAAGAAGACGTTCGAGCCGGTGGATGAACCAAGGTGGGTCAGCTGGACATGCTTGCTCTCATGCTGTCTCTCTCTGATCAAAGTTTTTTCCTAGATGCCCTTATATTGTGGGTGGGCAGCTGATTTCCTCATATCACTAAGAAGATGCGTCACAACCAAGAAACCAATATAATTCAGAGGCACGTGAAGGCAGAGCTGGAGCCAGTGAAAGAGTGGAGGGAGGGACCAGAGACACTGCTCTAAACGTCTTTTAGTGGAAATTCTTTGGGTCGCTGTTGTTTTTCTTACAAGTTTCGCTTCTTCATAGACAGTGGAAAAAGTGTAGAAGACACTTCCCAGCAAGTGCCTTTCATGTTTTTCTTTCATCTCTTACCTTTTTTGGTTTGATCTTTCCGCTTCTTACAGCTTCTCTCTAATTGTTACAGGGCTTTTGAGAGCATGTTGGTCATTTTTCTTCAGGTTTGTTTTTTTTTTTTTGTTTGTTTGTTTGTTTGGTTTGGTCTATTTTTTTTTTTTTTAATCTTTAAAATATGCTGACTTCCTGGCTTTTTTTCGTTGGCCAGTTCACAGGCAGCATGAGGAAAGGGTCTATGGGGAGATCCAACCAGGGCACATGTGACCCATCAATCCAGAGTCCAGGAATACAGGACAAAGCTGAGGTGGTCTGAGGAGACAGAGAGGAGCATCCAGCAGAATCAACCAGCACTGAGAAGAGGGGCTGCACGCTGTGGCACTTCAAGGGCTGTGAGGAAGGGACCCTCCTCCTCCAGCAGCACTGGGAAAAACCCACCCAAGCTCGTTTGCTGAGGGGGCTCGTCCTAGCTCCCATCTAGCTGCTGAACTTTGCATAGGGCAATACATTTCCATCCATGTGCCTCATCCTGGGGCCCCTTTTGCCTCAGAGAACCCCCACTGTTGTGGCTCACACTTTCCAGCAACCCACTGGCTCTGACTCTTTTGGACTTAATCAGCCCTTCATGATGGGTGTCAGACACCCAAGACCCTCTGTGGCTCATCCCCAGAAGGCTGGGCTGGGGCTTTTCCCGGGGGTGAAGGAAGGGAGGTGACTCAGAGTGGCTGCTTCTTCAGTGTGGAAGGACCCTTGCTCACTCTCTAGTTCTCAGCTGGGTGGTGAAGGTGGAGGATAAAAGAGAGCAAGTGGTACATCTCGCTTCAGCAGCTCCTGTTGTGGTGACAGCTCTTGTCACTTTTATCACACATGGCTTTTCAGCCTTCTGAGGAGTGGGCTTGGTGCACAGGAACCTGGTGCAACCTTGTGTGCCTCGATGTCCCTGGGGGACTGCTTTATAGTGGTCCTTCATGCCCTCTGTGTCACATAGTCCATGGGATTGCACGAGAGAAGAATAGAGAAGATGGGGGAGAACCTGTGACAGTTGGTGGGACGTGTTTTTTCCTCCCGTTCAAGAAAAACAGTTTGTGGTGCCCAGTCCAAGCAGAAAGCATCAACCTGTCTTTCCTCTGAATCAGCAGTGCGAGAATGGTGTGAGTGTGTGGGCGAAGACAAGAGAGAGAGAAGGGAGATGGAACCGTGGTGGGGAGACATGTACGGCTCCACAGCCTGGTGTCATCTGCTCCCCCTCCCCTGGCTTTGCGCAGGGGACACGCCGAGCTCACTGCTCTCCCCCTCATCCTGACCTGCTCTGCAGTCTTAGCCTCAGCGCGCTGACACTATTCCCCTCTAGTCCCCCAAAGCACCCTTAACTGAATCCGTGCTCTAGGAAATGTCTCTTTCTTCTAAGAACTGGCGAAGAAGAGAGACGTGTTCCCATCCTGCTGCTGCTTCCCAAGAAGTGGTCATGAGGGGCTGACAGAGAGCCCAGGAAAGTGACAGGGGGTATCTGGCACTGGGGCATGTATGGGGCCGAGGGGTTATTATGCTGAGCGAGCATGTTGTGAAATGAAGATTTTAGAGGCACTGTTTTACTCAGCACTGGGCTATCTTTAGCAAAGACACCTGTGACGTTTGTCTCTAACGACCCATTTTAAATGCTGACTCCCTTGAACGGCATTTTCGTCATCTCCCAGAACAGGACCCCACCACAGAAGTAACAGTGACCGGAGCAATATCAGCATGGGGGAATCTTCTCAGAACTGCCTGCGTGGGTCCCCTGAGGAGAAGGGCTGACAGGGATGTGTGGGACTCTGGCAGAGCCACGGGGAATGAGGGGCAGGCTACAACAGGAGTGGCCCAGGACAGGGATACAGAAGCCCAGCTCACTAAATACACCTTTGTCTGTGTTAGGCATTAGCTAGCTTCAGCCAGGTTCCAGACTTACCCGCAGCAGTCACCCTGCACAGAACCTTAATACATTGCTTTTCTTGTCTCTCTTGGCATGTCTTATGGGTGCAAACTACACCTACCAAGAAAAATAGGAATAGAAAACACTATTCTGCAGTATCATTGAGTTAGTCTTGCGGAAGGAATTTTCCATTGCGTTTCCAGATTTCTGTGATACCATGTTTTCCTCTGAGTGATTCCACTTTCATGTTTTGGTCCTTGCAGCACCAAGTCTGAAGCTCGTCACAACCTTCTGCTTTATGCTGACTTTTTGAGGTGCTTTATAATTATTTGCAGACGTTAGCTGACCTAAGAAATTGTGCTGTGACTTGAAGACTGGTTTATCAGCCGTGCAACTTGAGATCAGATGGTCCGGGTGATCCTGAGATAGAGCGGTCACCAAAAGGACCTCATGTAAAATGTCCCGATTGCTGTTTGCCCAGAGCTAAAGCAAACATAGCAAGTAAAAAGAAGTTACTTACTAATAAGAGATAACTAATAACTTCGTGGCAAGGGACTGTAAACAGAAAGCAGCCACGCTTGGGGAGGCAGAAGGAAAGGTCTGGCAGGGGACGTCGTGTGAGCAAAAGTTGCCAGGAAGGTCAGTACTTGACAGGCGCCTGGACAGGCAATGGGGTTCCCAGGAGTCAGACTGGAATTAACTGTGAGACTTCTGGCACTGGCTGGAAAGCTCAGGGAGCTAAAAGAGATCTAAGTTCAGCTCCAGAGGGGAAGTAGTGGAGCTGCCCTTCTCCAGGTGTGCAGGACAGATGCAGTGGTTCCTGCGTCAACACCCGGTGCCTGAGGAGGGGGCCAAGCAGCAGAACTCTAAACCAGAAAGAGCTGACGCCCACAGCTTGACAGGCTTTGAGTGAGATGCACACTGTGGAAATGTGTCAAAATGGGCACCCTTGAGGAAGAGGGATGCAAGCCACTCTCCCCCCACAAAGGGCTGTGATGGTTTCTACCACGGTGTCAACCTGAGGTCCCTTCTGTATATGAAATTGGTCAGCTTCTCTAATTCCAAGGTGGGTACAAAACGTGCATCCTTTCTCATGGGAGGAAGCATTTGCTCCAGACTTCTGTCCCTTTGTGATGCCTGGAAGCAGCATGTTATCTTCCCAGGGCCAGGGTACACCATGCATCAGAGGGAGGGACCCATTTATTTGAGGTGACAGATCCCCAAAACAGGTGAGGAGAAGAGGATTAGAAAAGAGAAAGTTCACATCTCCCAGTAGATCCAGGCAAAACCAAAATATGACTCTGCAGGAGTACAAGGAGGAGGAAGAGGCTGCCTGACGTTTATTGGGAAGCTCTTTTGAAAAGGTCCTTTTTAGAGGATTTGCTGAATGGGCTGTGCCTGAGTCACCACAGGTCTTTGATGTGGAGCTGAGGAGAGTCAAGTGGTGGCCTGCTTCCCCATATCCTATGGGAATACCTACAGGAAAGCATAACTTTATGAAGTCTTAGGACAAATCTGCAGCCTCTTTCTTTACATTACTAAAAGGCAAGCAACCCTTGTATGATAATCCTCAGCAGATAGTTGAATATCCCAGAGAAACCTGAATTAGAAAATCAGGAACAACACTGGGGGTGCTGACCGGAACTGTGGGCTGCATTTCTGCTAAAGAAAAATCCCATGGAGTTAATCACTGAAGACAATCTGCAGCATTCATGGGCATATTTGGCAGCTAGCATCTTGTATCTGGCCAGCATTAGCTGTAGAGAAGTGTGTAACTATTCTCTTCCAAAAGGCCTCCAGATCCTTCCTGGGGGAGAGATGGGATGCTGCAGGATGCTCTATGGACATCCACAACTACCTGTGGAGATGGTGATGGATATCGGTACCTTGGCCAATATTTAGTTAAGCGATGTCTTTGATGCTGCAAGACGTCTTTAATGCCGCAGCCTCTGTATTTTGCAACACAGAGGGTGAAGTGGAACAACTACAAAAATCCATGCAGCAAGCTAGGTGACATTTTGACTCAATTCTCATTGCAGTGTTCATGCCATGCTTTTAATCCAATGGAAAAATACGCAATAGCCCAAACATCCCAGGGCTGCAGGGAGTTTTCTCAGGAGCAAGTAGGAGCCCAATGCATGCAAGGGATGGGAGAAGCATGCCAGCTGTGAGGAGAAAGCTCTCAGTTACAGTGACCTGACACTGAGTTGAAGGAGTCAGGCACTGACCCAAGGAGCCATGTGTCGTTGAGTGATGGGGGCAGTAGCAGAATGGTCTTAAGAGATTCCCTTGACTCAGGTATGGGCTGAAAGGAGATGAGGAGCACTCTGATAGGAGCTGAGCCTTGGTCTGAGCGTGGGACTCCCAAAACATGGTTCTTCCAGGGGTAGCTGGAGAAAAAGGGTCCGACCATCTGCAGGGTCCTTGGGCCCTGAGGGGACTGGAAGCTCCAGTGCTGACACCAGAGCTGGATGACAGAGTAGCTCTGGACATCAGGGCTAGTCCAGAATGCGGGTGGGCACTGGCAGAAATGGCCAGCAAACAAGACCTCTTAAAGAGCCATCAGCACCAAGACTGGTGGTAAGAGCGGTGTCAGGACAGGCTGGGAGGATGATGCTGGATATGTAGTGAAACCAGGGCTCCCAGTTTCCCCCAGCAGATTACACACAAGCCCATTCTTAGGTGTGGATTCTTCCAGTTTGCTGTGTCTTAACAGTTTTGCAAAGAGACTCTATGACTGCTTTTTCTGAGAGATGTTTTGGCCTGGGGGATCTCCAGAATCCATGTGGGTTGCGTCTG